TCCGAAGAAAGATGAGGAGCAAATCTTTTTAAATTTAAAAATTTAGTTAAGTTTAGAATTTTTCACAATTATTAAACCAGTATTTTAAAAAGCATTTTAATAACATTTTATGAAACTGAAGTTACCTACGTTTATTCAATGACAATTTTTTCTTTGCTAATTATTTATTTTAATGTTAGAAGCCTTTTAAAAAATTTTAAAAGATCGAAGTCGGGGAAATTATTAATTTTGATTTTTTACACAGATTTTCGAAAAATCCATATATTATTTAAACAAAATTATTATTTCCTCACCTCATAAGCAATTTTTTCTTTTACAAATTATTTATTTTAATGTGACAAGTCATTTAAAAAAATTGTAAGAGGATCTAAGGAAGGCAAGGAAATTAGTGATTTTTAATTATTTTTTCGTAGATTTTCCAAATATCCCGAAATTTTAACTAAATTATTATTTCCTTGCTTCAGAAGCAATTTTTTTCGATTGCAATTTTTTAAAGGGCTTCTTACATTAAAAAACAATTAGCAAAAGAAAAAATTTTCATTGCATAAAAGTTGGTAGCTTCAGTTTCATAACATTTTGGGGTTTCTAAAGGCGCTAGCACAGCTCCTACTGCCTGCCTGCCTGCCTGCAGGTTGACATGGTAACACATAAGAGTAAGAGAGTCAGAAAATTCAAATTAAATGTTTTTTCTCTCTCACTCTTATGGCGCCTGCCTGCGCAGGCAGGCAGGCAGTGAGGTGAGAGTGTACCTTAAAATGTATTAATTTAAAAATTATTTAAAGGAAGATAGAGACCAAAAGAAACTAAAATTTAGAAATGCCATATTGATTTCAATTGTAAGCACTAAATTTAAAATCAAAAAGTTGTATGTCAACTTGAAAACTTGAAATTTTTACGACTCAAACACAAAAAATTGAGCTTTTAGTATCAGGCTTTATAAAATTCCCTGACAATTCCAGATTTTTCAGGTTTTCCATGACTGAAAAAAAATTCCATGACAATTCCGGGTTTCCCAGGTTTTCCAGGTCCGTGGCAACCCTGTATTTGTTTGGCAGACATCAACAATAATTTTTTAAATGGATAATCAGTGAAAAATGACTTACATTTCTGTAAGTTAGTGTTTCACTTCGATCCGCGAATTTCATTTTTTCGAGCGATTATTTGGTTATCGTCTTTGGTTTTCAAACGATCATCTTGTTTATTCTTTTGTTAATTGTCAAATCGTATCGTCTAATTTTCTAATTGTCATCGACCGAACTTCTCGACTGCTTCTCGACTTTCCCATAACTGACAACTAAAAATAATACAATAATAACCTATTTTTTGAAAAAAATCGATATCCAAAAACATTTAAATTCTTTTTTATTAATTCTATTAAAAACTAAAATTAAATTCATTTTAGTGAATTAAAATTATTATATCAAGTTAAAAATTAATTCAAGGTGTCTAGTGAATTATTATTTTTAAATTCCCGGACCAAAAATAAATATTCCCGGATTGATTTTTTAAAACAGCAATTACTATAAAATTTAAATATTAATACTTTTAATAAAGAAATTTTTAAGAAAATCAATTTTAAAAAGTCAATAGACATCTTTATTTAGAGAAATATATATAATATTACTTGTTATATATTACTTAATAAATCTATAACATTGTAATAGTTGGATCTAAATTTAAAATTAACCTACTTTTTTATTTTTCTATTAGTTGGGCTTTTTTGCGGAGTATTATTATTATTTTTAATTGTGTATTTAAATAATAAAAATTAAAAATAATTATTTTTAATTTTTATTATTAAAAAAAAAAAGTTGTCTGTTCATTGAACAAGACCTACATGTCTTATAGTATTTTGGCCCCCTGAATACGAATATGAAGTCAGAATTGCTCCATCACCCTCTGTTTTCTTTTAAATCGAAAAAACTACCCTTAAGTCTAAAATTCAAGAATTAAAGTAAAAAAAAATAAAAACACGGCTTTCTTCGGAGTAGAAGAATATATTTATGCGTTTTCTTCTTTCAACAACTCAAATAATGTCAAAATTGCTCCACCACCCCTACTTTTTTTTAAATCGAAGAAAGTACCCTTAAATCTAAAATTCAAGAACTAAAGTGAAAAAAAATGAAATAACCGGTTTTCTTCGGAGTAGAAGAATATATTTATGCGTTTTCTTCTTTCAACAACAAATAATGATAAATTAACTCTGATTCTGCTTTTTAGTTATGAGAACAAAAATAAAGGAACGTATGCTTTTGTCTAAAACTAATTGTTTTTATTGTTGTTAGTATACTCTGGGTTCATACTTAAAGGGGTAGTTTTTTCAATATAAATCAATAAGAGGGTGATGAAGCAATGCTGATGCTTTTTTAAAAAGTACATAAATATATTCTTCTACTTTGGAAAAAACCTGTTATATCATTTTTTACTATAATTCTTGAATTTTAGATTTAAGGGCAGGGGGTGATGGAGCAATTTCGTCATTATTTCTAAATTGTTGAAAGAAAAAAACGCATAAATATATTTTTCGACTTCGCAAAAAAAACTGGTTATTTCATTCTTTGACTTTAGTTCTTGAATTTTAGATTTAAGGGTAGTTTCTCCCATTTAAAAGAAACAGGGGTGGTGGAGCAATTTTGACATTATTTCTGAGAGGTTAAAGGAAGAAAACGCATAAATATATTCTTCTACTCCTAAGAAAACCGGTTATTTCATATTTTTTTACTTTAGTTCTTGAATTTTAGATTTAAGGGTAGTTTCTCCCATTTAAAAAAAACAGGGGTGGTGGAGCAATTTTGACAATATTTCTGAGTGGTTGAAGGAAGAAAACGCATAAATATATTCTTCTACTTCGCAAAAAAGTGGTTATTTCATTCTTTGACTTTAGTTCTTGAATTTTAGATTTAAGGGTAGTTTCTCCTATTTAAAAAAACAGGGGTGGTGGAGCAATTTTGACATTATTTGAGTTGTTGAAAGAAGAAAACGCACAAATATATTCTTCTACTCCGAAGAAAGCCGTGTTTTCGATTTAAAAAAAACAGAGGGTGCTGGAGCAATTCTGACTTCATATTCGTATTCAGGGGGCCAAAATACTATAAGACATGTAGGTCTTGTTCAATGAACAGACAACTTTTTTTTTGTGTGCCTGTGATTGTAATCATGCCTAAATTAAAAAAATTTAACATTTTTAGGTATAAAATAATTTTTTAATAAACATTAATAAAAATTTAGTTTTCTAAACATTATTCAAAAGTAGACGAAAGAACAAAGTTTTGTCCTCTTGATGTAATTTTTCTAAATTCAATAGATTAAGTTATAGATAATTAAAAATAAGTATACTTAGATTTCTTTGAATAATTTTTTAACACAATTAAATTTTTCAAATATGTCTACAATAGAAACCTTTTTGAATAGTTGAAATTGTGCAAAATTTAATTGAAAATAATTAATTTATTTCAAGTATTTTGTTACAATTTTTTGAAGAATTTTAATTGCAAATTTTGAAAATAATTGAATTACCAAAAATTAAAAAAAAATTTTTAAAGGTAAATTAGGATATAAGAATTATTTTAAGAAATTCAATTATTTTCGAAAAATAACATTATAATATTTTTAAAAACTAATATTATTAGAATTTTTTTATAGTAATTTTTTAAGATTTAATTATCTTCGAATAATGTAAATAAACATTTATGAAAATTTACTTCAATAAGACGAGCGAACATGACAGCTTGGTTATCAAAACAAAAAGAAAATCGTTTTTTGTTCGTTTCTCGGATCGTGTTGCTCGAATGAAACACTACTGTAAGTGTAATTTTCAACTGACTTTTAGTAAAATTATTTGTTTGACAGAAATTTACAATATTAATAAATAAATCACAATAAAATAATAATCAGTGAAGAATGACTGATATTTTAGTACTTTTCAACTGATTTTCAGTAAAATTCCACTGATTATGAATCCAAAGTCACTTTTTAAAAATACAAAATGGCGAATCCAGGATAGCGGACGAAAATGAAAGGTTTAGTAAGAGAATACGTAAAAATAACATTTCGTATAATGTACAATGACATTTTTTGTAAATGTCACTTCATAATTTTTGTCTTATTACACAATGATTTTAAATAAAATAATTTATATTTTTATAAATATTAATAATTTTTTACATTTTCTAACCACTATAAGGTTTTAATTTTGTAAATGTTCAAATTCTGGTTTAGAAAGAAAAATTTATATTATTATACAACTATATTGTCTAGACTTGCAAAAACCCAAAGTCTAGACTTTGTTGTAACAATATTGTTACAATATATATTGTAACAATATTGGTGACGGTGACATGCGTAAGAATAGTGCAGTAAAAATTTCAAAAAAACACCCTGATCATTACCTACAGAAAATCCTATTAGTAAGAAAAGAATGGACGTATCTTCGCCCTTTTCTTACTAATTATTCAGAGAATCAGGCTAACATTCAAAATCTAACCTTCTAAGTTTAGTTATTTCAAAAAAATTATTTTATTGATGCAAATAAATATTTATTTTAATTAAAAACTATGCATTATTTAATCAAGTAATTTTTATAATTGATTTAAAGCAATATTTATTAAATTAAATTATTCTATTTAATTGACTTAAGTAATTTGTATTTGGTTCAAATAACTATTTAATAGATACCATAAATTAAAATATTTATGTCCAGTAAATATTTACTTAGTTCAAATAAAAAAAAAAAAATAAGTAAAAACTAATAAGTTTAAATACAACCGAACGAGCGTTAGCGAGTGAGGTATATGTTGCTAGTATAATATAATGCTATAATCGCTATGATGCTAATATAATTAATATCTACTCACACATTTCCTATATTACAATTTATTAATATTATTTAATAGTATAATATATATTGTCAACAGTAAAACATAACCACACTTTCCAACTCGCACGTCAAAATAATGATCTCTCTCATCGTTCTTTCAAGAGTGACGAAGATAGTTGCAAACTGCACATGCGTGTTATTTTTTAAAAGTCATTACTACTCATAGCGAATTCGGTTATCTGCACCGGAGCACTCTCGGAGTGCTCCAGAGCAGGAGTAGCATGTTCGGTTTGACAAATGTGCTCTAGTGCAGATCGTTTGGAGTATTCGCTTTAGCAGCACTGCTCCGGCGCAGATCGTTTCGAGTATTCGTTTTGGCAGCACTGCTCCGGCGCAGATCGTTATTTGTGTTCGAATTAAGAAGTGTGCACTCTCAAGGATCGAAAGGTGTATGGAGATTATGATATATATTTATATAATTTATGTAGAGGCTTCTCCACAAGCCAAATGTGTTGTAATCCCGAAGGGTTCTGGTTGAAATAAATATTCAATATTTATTTAATATCACACTCGACTAATTTATTTTATCACAAGAGACAATTTACTGCTCAGTACTCTACTCTCAAAACCAATCTGAAACTCATATTCTCTGTTCTCGCGGTTCTCGCTTATTCTCCCCACAGACATGCGCATTACGCATTCAACCTAAAGGTTGATCCCCACATATACTCCCCTTCTAGTGACAACGATATATATAAAAAAAAATTATTAACATTATTAAAATTCAAGACGATTTATCTAAATACATATAAATTTTTCATTTCTTATACTTTGAAACATATTAAAAATGAGGACGTAAAAAAAATTATTCAGATTTCTGAGCAGTAAATCTTGAATACAAAAACGGTGTTAAAAAATATATAAATATCTCTTAGAAGTCGTAGATAAAAATAACATATATACTTTTAGTTTAGCTAATATTATAATTCGGTGATACTTATGAAATATTTTTATTTCTTTATAATACTGATCTTTTCGTTTTTTTTTAATACTTTATATAATACTAAAAACGTAGATTGCTTAAAAAAAAAATTCCTACTTTAATCATTAAAAGTAACTTTCCTTCTCTTTAAAATGTTTGGTTGAAACTTTTTTGGTTTGTTACTAACTTTAGGTGTAGTCAAAATATAATCGTGGTCAAGCATTACTTTTGTTCTACTCGCATTTGTCGAGTTTTCGTGATTAGTTACGACTGTAAAAAGATTATCGTGATTCTGAACTCCAGAATCAAGATCGCGAGGATGCTCATCAACGAGAGGCTGTTCGCTTTCAACAGGCACACGCACAGGAGTCGGTGGAGGCACGATTTCCTTAAGAGGATCATTGTTTCGCGGGAAATTTATTTGAGCCGGAATGGATGTTGGAGTTTGAGAATCATTCGTCTCATTCGGTCCCAACACCATGAATGCAGGCTTCAATCTTTCGACAGATACTGCTTTGTTCGTACCGTTAAGATCTATTTCAAAAACGCGATCAGAAATGCGACCAACGATCCTGTGCGGACCGGAATAGGGAGGTTCTAATGACTTCCTCACTCTATCAACACGTAAAAATACATGCGAACATGTGGTTAGATTTTTCGAAATAAATACTCCGCGTCTGTGATGATGAGCAACGGGTGCGGGTCTTACTTCGCGCATGTATTGTCTAAAATCCGTCAAAAAAGCTTCGGAATCACAAGTTATGTTGTCGGAAAGTAAAAACTCGCCCGGTAAACGTAAAGTTGTGCCATAAAGATACTCGGCGGCGGAAGCTCCGCACTCCATCACAGCTGATCGCAAACCTAAAAGAACGGTCGATAAAACTCGCGTCCACCTATGGTCGGAATGACACATGATAGAGGCCTTAAGCGAGCGATGCCACCGCTCTATCATCCCATTAGATGCGGGATGATAGGCGGTTGTTCGAATTCGATATGAACCAGATACTTTCAAGAGGGCAGCGAAAAGGCGAGACTCAAACTGTCTGCCCTGGTCGGTAGTTACGGTTTCTGGAACTCCATATCTGGAGATCCATTGATCAACGAAAGCCTGGCAAACTGTTTCCGCTTCCATGTTCCTCAAGGGAATAGCCTCAGGCCACTTCGAAAAACGGTCTATGATGGTGAGACAATAAACAAAACCCTGATCATCTGGAAGTCTACCAACTAAGTCAATATGAACATGCCTGAATCTTGCCTCAGGAGAGACAAAGTGTTTTGGTTGCAAGGTGGTATGACGAGAAATCTTAGACCTTTGACAATCCCCACAAACCCTACAATATTCCGCGATCTCTTTATGCATCGAGGGCCAAACGAAATGTTTACGGATCATACGATCCATGACGCGAGCACTCGGGTGAGCTGGAGAATGATAGACATGAAGGATTTTTTTACGAATGGTAAGTGGAGCAAAAAGTCTCAGATTATCACCCGAAACGTCACAATACACGATAATGTTCGAGGGACCCCAAGGTAATGGTTTTAAACGAATAGACCAATCCTTGGTCTGCAGCGCTTTTTTTAGATCATCATCATTCCCCTGAGCCAATGCTATTTCTCCCAATTCGATATCCGATGACAAGGCGATTGATTCGACACGGGATAAGGCGTCAGCGACCACATTTTCGGATCCGGATAAATGCTCGATATTTGTCGAAAATTGAGAAATGTACGATAATTGACGTTGTTGACGCGGTGATGACTTTTCTGATTTTTGGTTAAATGCATAAATCAGAGGCTTGTGATCTGTTACGATGCAGAATTCACGACCCTCCAAAAAATTACGAAAATAACGAATGGACTCGAATATCGCCGTCAACTCTCGGTCATAGGTACTGTAAGCGCGTTGTGCTGGTGTTAACTTCCGGGAAAAAAATGCCAACGGTTTCCAATTCTCGGGGGAAGTTTTCTCGTCGATATCTCTCTGCTCAAGAGCAGCACCGATCCCTGAATCAGATGCGTCCGTCACCAAACGCAATTCGCCGTCGAAAGAAGGGTGAACCAAAATGGTAGCCGTCGCAAGTGCATTTTTAATTTGATCAAAAGCTAATGAAGATTCTGAGTTCCAATCAATTTTGGTTTTATCATTTTTCTTCGAACTAACGAGATATTTATGCAAAGGTGCAAGAATTTGTGCAGCGTGTGGAATACTACGACGATGGAAATTGATTAACCCCAAAAAGCGACGCAATTCATGAACCGTTTCAGGACGAGGATATGAAACGACTGCCTTTACTCTCTCTGTGGTTGGAAAGATTCCATCAGCGTTGATGGTATGGCCCAAAAATTCTAATTCTTGGCGACCAAATTGACACTTGTCAACATTTATACGAAGACCAAAGTCTCTCAGCCTTTGAAACACCATGTTGAGATGCTTCTCATGCTCAGTGACGTCAACTGAAGCAATAAGAACATCATCAACATAGGCGAATACAAAGTCTAGATCTCCGAGAGCCTGGAATATATAACGTTGAAAGGTCTGGCCGGCATTCCTTAGACCGAAAATCATTCTACAGAATTCGAAGAGGCCGAAGGGTGTTATTACAGCAGTCTTATGAATGTCCTCGGGAGCAACGGGAATCTGTGTGTATGCCATGTGAAGGTCAATCTTTGAGAAAACTTTTTTATTAGCGAGACAAGAAGCGAAATCATGGATATGCGGAACCGGATAGCGATCAGGAACAGTCACGGAATTCAAACGCCGAAAATCGCCACAGACGCGAAATCCCCCTCCCTTTTTTGGAGCTAAATGGATCGGAGTGGCCCAAGAACCACTGGAAGGCCGACAAACGCCCTGTGCGACCCACATTCTAAATTGCTCTTTTGCTTCTTGAAGTCGATGTGGAGCCAAACGACGAGCGCGTTCAGCCAAAGGAGGACCCTTGGTGATGATATGATGGAATACGTTACGCGTTGTTGCGATAGGTGATTGCGACGTTGCAGTAATTTCCGGGTACGATGCTAAAATATTTGAAAACGGTGACGAACTGTCGATTGACTTTACGCTGAGCGAACTAACGTTTCGAAATATCATGTTGGATTGTAATCGAGTGAGCGAATCGACAAGACAACGTTGACGAAGATCAACAGCGAGATTGAAATGAGCCAAAAGATCAGCACCTATGATGGGGTGCGGAACTGATGCAACACAAAAATTCCAACTTAAGTCGCGTTTAATTCCGAGATCGAGAGTCATGCGTTTTTCACCGAATGTAGAGATGCGCGAATTATTAGGGGCGTATAAAACCACTTCGGAAGGTTTACCTTTTGAATTTTTTTCAGCCGGTATCAGAGAAACATCCGAACCGGTATCTATAAGAAAAAGCAAGCCGGAAACACGGTCGCGTATGTGAAGACGTTTAGAAGCTGAGTTTGATCCGATAGTCTCGACGCGGCAATTTCCCGAATTCTTCCCTTTTGCATGGTAAGAGCAAGGTTCTTTACAATGTTTTGCCGCTTCCGCGAACTTTCTATGATACCAACATTCCTGGGATTTAGAGCTTTCCGAATCCGGATTCCGTCCGCGATTACGCGATTTCGAGCGAGACCGATCATAGGATCGCTTTTTATTATTTTTCGACATTTTTGCATCGATAGCATTTACGCGTTTCATTATACTTTCGAGTTGAGATTCAAAATTCCGAGAGGAAGAAGACGATCTAGGTTGAGGTGTTTGTTTCTCTGATGTAGAAGTAGAACAAGTGTATGAAGCATTCGTAGTCTCATAAACCTTGTCAGCCAAATCGGCTAAGTCCTGCAGGTCGGTGACTCGAGAAACAGCTAAAATGGATTTGGTACTGACCGGCAGCTGATCTAAGAAAACTGACTTTATCACTTCCTCGTTGCATTGTGCGCCCCCCAAACTTCTCAGACGAGTAAGGATTAATGAAGGTTTTCCGTCAGAAGGAAAATCTCCCTTCAAAAGTTGACGCAAACGAGCCTCGGAAGAAACTGAATAAGCAGCTAAAATTCTTTGCTTGATTTTTGAAAAAATGTTCGCAGGACGCGGTGTAGTTATGATAATATCGCGAGCGCATAATAAAATTTCAGGGTCAAGTTCAGCAATAAGATATTCTGCTCTGGTTCCCTCGGAAGTGATGCGAGCGCTGTTGAATGCAGCTTCAATTTGTATAAACCATAATGCGGGGTCATGAGTTATAAAACGAGGTAGTCTAGGTGCACGAATGGGTTCGATGCGTGGATTATCCTGCAATATTAGAAGATTCGCGTTAACTCGTGTTAATTCGTCCTGCAAGGCTCTAATCGCCTCTTCCGGCTCCACCTTTATCTCGCCATTCTCGTTTTCGCCGTCGGACTCAGTCATTTCGACTCTTAAATTCAACAAAGTGCTGACAATATAAGTTACGAAGAAAAAAAAAATTAATAACGACAATAATGACCCGAAGCTCAACACCGCAGACGCAAAATGTCAAAAAACGAGAGAAGAGAAAAAAAAATTCCAAACGATCAGCCTCTCCTAACGATAAACATCAAACGAAAGAAGATAAAGAAGGAAAAAAAGAACTCTTCTTTTTATTTTGCATAGAAAGATATGCAACTAAAATTTACTTGATCACGATATAAATGTTATATTTATTGACGCAAGTAAAAAAATATATGCAGATTAACTCCCAACACCGCGCGTATCATTGGATAAGACAAGAAAAAAATCTTAATGTCACGAGCTCGTAAGAAAGCGTTTAAAGACAATAGGGCATTTAACGTGCCAAAATTAAAATGTTTATTGTTTTTAATGTGGTGAAAAGCGACGAAAGAAAAATTCGTGATTCTCTTGTAAAAATAACGTTTAAAAGTTTCACCTCTTAAGATGAAAAGAAGGAGAACATTTTGTTTTCTCACGTAATAAAAATCAATTAAATGAAAATTTAGAAATTTAATTTGTTAAAATATAACTAAAAATTTGTTATTTAAGTTAACGAGAAAAAAAAAGAAAGATTTTTTTACTTTAAAATAAGAGAAAAAAAAGAAAATATTTTTTTAAAGAAGAGAAAAAAAATTATTTTACTAAGTTTTTTCGAAGATTGCTGCGGTGTGGTCCAACGGTGGGAGAACTGCCAAAACTTCCGGTAAGTACGGTCGATTTCCAGGAAGCACGAAGTCGAGGAGTCTGGCAGAAACGATGCAGGTTGGCTCGATTGGATTTTTAGCACTCGTCGGTTGTGCTGTTGATGAATGAAGCCGGAAATGACTCTTTGTGCGAAGACGCCAGAAGATTTCCGCTCACGCTCCAAAGACGCTCATGATTTTCCAGTAAATAGAAAAAAATAAACGGATCACAAGCTGAACCTTATTTCAAGGTTTTTTTTTTTTTTTAAACAAAGAAATAGATGGTTATACTGACCTAGCGTGGGTGAACAATGTTCACCCACGTACGAAGATCTGCGCTCAAAAAAAAATGTAGGGCTGCTTAACACCACAGGATGCGGAAGGTGAATCTTTTCCTCGAACTGGTCCTTTCTGGTAGCAGCAAACCCCTTGAGAAGATCTGATGTACGTAGTTCATTAGGCAGTATGACATGTGCTGAATTTTGAAGTCCAAAATCGGCCAGATTTCTGAATTTGGTAAAAAATATTTCGTCGAAATTGGTGGAAATATTTTTTTTATATTTGCAGAGATGTCCTTATAGTGAAAAAGATGCTCGATTGTCGAGATACGAGTGGATTTCGTCTTAATGGTCGAGCACATGTGCCGGAAGTGAGGTTATGTGACTCATCAAAGTTGGAAAAAAGATAATATCTTTCGAATTTTTACGGCTGGAGATAGAGAAATTCTTCTCCGTTGAACGAAAGTTATTTTCCCAACTATTCCAGGTGATGCTTCGTAGACCCAGGGCGAAAAAAAAATTTTTTTCCTTTTGAACTTCGAGACTCAAGTCGCGGGTCACCACTATGGAGATTATGATATATATTTATATAATTTATGTAGAGGCTTCTCCACAAGCCAAATGTGTTGTAATCCCGAAGGGTTCTGGTTGAAATAAATATTCAATATTTATTTAATATCACACTCGACTAATTTATTTTATCACAAGAGACAATTTACTGCTCAGTACTCTACTCTCAAAACCAATCTGAAACTCATATTCTCTGTTCTCGCGGTTCTCGCTTATTCTCCCCACAGACATGCGCATTACGCATTCAACCTAAAGGTTGATCCCCACAGGTGCAACAAAATTTGCTCCCACAATTTTGTTAGTGCAGTTTAAAAAAATGTCAAGAGAAGCGGCAAATTTAAAAATTTCACTTCTAACAGATTTAATTGACACCTCTAGCGATAGTAGTGAAGACGAATTATGTTTTTTATAATGAATTTTGTATTTAGAGAAAGACTAACATTCAATATTTTAATATTTAATAAAAACAGTAAATAATTTTCAATATTTTTAATATTTAAATAAAAATACTCATTATAAAGTAATTATTTGGTCTCAAAGAAATAACCTTTTCACTTATTTTATTATTGTTGTTAGTAGTTCAAAATGTCAAATAGTGTGAACAAAATTTATATCAGAAATATTATTCGATAATTTTGTGATTAACAATTCTGCTATATCAAAACATTGACCGAATAAGATTTTAAAATTCTAATAAAAATATCAAATTTTTTGCTTTTAAAAATATTATTTATGTATACATCATAAAATATTTAATTTTAAGTAAAATAATTTTACATTTAAGAAGAAAATATATTGCATAATATAATGTATAATAATATATATAATATAATAAATATAATATTATATTACATTATATTATATAAGTTTAATTAAATTTAAACTTCGCGCCAAACGAGCAGTGTATGCTTTACACCATAGCAGTTCATGTTGTGCTCCTGCTCCAAAAACAGTCGAACTTTGACAGTGTTCATGACGTCATAGATTGCCTCAGAGTAGAGCACAGCTTTTTGAGAGCAGAGTAAACTATACTCCTACACCGAGCAAGATCGCTCTCGGAGCAGATAACCGAATTCGCTATCAGTGAACCAAGGCAGAAATCTGGCACCAGTTTGACTAGGGGATACGCTGGAGAGCAGTCTCCTTATTATTACTCCGTGCAATGAAATTTCATTGTTTTACAATTCTCTAGGAACTTTCTGTCGGTAACAGTAGATTTCTTTTAGTCCATTTAAACTTACCACTTCATTTATTCATATGGTAAATTCAGTTGCGCTTATCAAACTTTGCTTTTACCAATTTTTAACAAAAAATAAAAAATATTCGCTGTTTCTTATCTAAATCGGCATTTTTACATTCCATGACAATTGTGGTTTCAATTTATAATGTGTACTCTGCTCATGTGATTTTAATTTTAATGCTAAAATAAGACCGTATTCGGCGGATGAAAAAAAGATTGAGTCAAACGTCCCAATACGGTTTTTACTCGAATCCGTATTGGCTCAGAGCTTCACTCAATTCCTAAACGCTCCACTCAATACTTCTTTTTTTACTGGGTATTTCCGTTCGAAAGATAATGAATTTTAATTTTTTGAGAGTTTAACATTTAGCCCCAGTCTCCCCTGTTTATAACAAAATTTTGTAAAAATATGCAGAATATTTTAGTGAAATTGGACTAAATAAAATAAAATTTTTAAAAGTATTAATTAATTTAATTACATATAAATTAATGTAAATATCCTTGCAGAAAAAAGTATAACCAACCTGATCAGTGGGGTCCAGATGTGGCCCTGATAAGGCCCTGATGTGGTTTTTTTTTTAATATTTATGTCTAAAATTATTTATTATTTTAATAATGGAAAAAAATTTAATTTTAAAATAATAATAGGAAATTGTTTGTTTTTGTTTTTAAATAGTATTTTTAATAATACAAAATTATTATTTAAACTCATATTTAAAAACAAAATATTTTTTTGTTATTAAAATCTATAGGTAATAATTTTATATTATTTAAAATAATATTTTTAAATAAAAACAAACAATTTTTTGTTATTAAAATGTATAAATAAGTTTTTAATGCGTGACAAATAAGTATTAAAAAGATCCACATCAGGGCCTTATCAGGGCCACAACTGGGCCCCACTAATCAGGTTGGCTATACTTTTTTCTGCAAGGGTATTTACATTAATTTATGTAATTAAATTAATTAATACTTTTAAAAATTTTATTTTATTTTGATGGTAAAAATAATCCAATTTTAATAAGATATACTTCATATGTTCAGAAAATTTTTTTTATAAATAATTTAAAATCACAATATTTTGATATTATTATTAATATTAATAATATTACTATTATTATTATTATTATTATTACTAAAATTATTAAGTGTATAGCTTTAAATGTATTAATTTATTATTAAATAATACAGTCCTAACATTCAAATGGTACTTTGACTTGAATAACTCCCAAGCTTGCGTGGCTGTGCGGTTAGTGTATTCGACTTGCGTCCTCGAGGTCTAGGGTTCGATTCCCAGTGCGTGCGATATTTTTCCGTCTTAGTTTTAAGTGTTTTTGTGTACAATGTATGTTAACAATGTAAAGCGAAATGTAGATTTAAGGAATAATAATGATTTATTAATTATTAATTATAGTGATAGTAATAGTAATAATAAATTAATCAAAAACTGGGTTTGTTAAAATTAGTAAAAAAAAGTTGAATAAACTCAAAAAGTATTTTTTTAAAATTAAATGCAAGTAGAATAAATACAGAATAATTATTATTTGTAATGTTTTAAGAAATAAATTAATTACTAATTAATTATTACTTATTAATTAATAATTTATTTTTATTATTATTTATAATAGGTTTTAATAGTTTTTCTATTAATAGTAGGTTTAATTATTGTAGTTTTAATTTTCATAGTAGGTTTGTTTAAAATTAATAAATATTAAAACTAATATTTAAAAGAAAACATCTTTCTGTTATTAAAATGCATAAATAATTTGATACTTTTAGAAATGAATATTTAAAAAAATCAAATCAGTGCCAGATCAGGGCCCTACTAGGGATCATCCTATCTGGCCCTGATCAGGTTAGGCGTTTCGTCCCAGGTGTGGCACGGATCGGATTGCCTGATCAGGGCCATATTTACCCCTATCAGGGCCTGATCGGCGCCATACCAAAATTTCTGCACGGGTCAGAATATTTCTGGAAATTTAATCTTTTTCTATTCCTCGCTTCTTACCGGGTTAACTTACTTTCTTATCGTTAAGATTATTCACATCTACAACTTGGAAAGTGTGGGATAAGTATAGGTATAGCGATCACTTTTCAGTAATTTACACAATTGGTGCTAATATTTCGATTTCTAATTATAAATCACACAAATATAACTTAAAAAATATCCCATGAACAGTTTTCTCTAATACGATGTCGAGTTTCGTAGAAGAAAATAATATCAGATTGTTTTTCTGATGATTCTACCGTCGCGTCATAGAATCTTATGATTTATTTGTTCATGGATTATATGTATGCGTTTAGAATGTCTGTAGGTAAATGTATATCTTACTTTTAAAAATGTATTAATTCGTATTTGGTCCTATAAAATTGTATGTAAGTAAGGTTAATGAAATCAACAGCGAATTGCAAAATATGAGCAACATTCTGCTTATTACATAAAAATAACAAATTTTTTCACAGATAAATGTTGTTCTTTCAAAGATACAAGAAGATTGGAATTCATTATTATCCAAATATGAAGTTGAGATTTTACACAAATATGGCAGAAGATGCAACAGTTATATTAAATTATTCTATGGTAAATGTTTATGATTCTTCAAATAGGGTCAAAATTTGTGAAATCTTCACGAAAAATATAAAAGTAATTTTTTAATTGAAATGTTGGAAAAACATTTCTATTTGACCTTAGGAATATGTGTCCACAAATGACAAAAAATTTTGTTTACAATGTTAATACAAAATGAACTTTTTGCAACTTTTTAAACAAAATATTATTACTTCTAAATGATTGAACTGATTAAAATGAACCAAGCAGGAATACAAAGGGGATAAAATATACACTTTCGATTAGAATTAGAAAAGTTTTAAAAAGTTTATTTTTTAATAATTATTAAATAAATTGTTTACAAAGAATTAGTTTTTTTAACATTCTGCGCCTTTTAAAAATTCAAAAATTCTGAACATACAATTAAAACTATTAGTGATGCCGCAAGACAAGCTTTGTCCTCATCTCGTCTCGGAAAATCGAGAAAGCCGTCTTGAACTGAACAGTCTTGTCTTGTTTTATGATATCTCGACATTTTTCAAGAAAATGAAACAAAAATTATTTAAGGAAGAGACAGTGAAATTAAATTACAGTAGAGACTCCATTATCCGGACCCCTATTATCCGGACAAATTTAAAATTAAATTTTTTTTTTTAATATAAAGTTTATAAGGTCTCAAGCCGTTAACTTCTATTTTAAATTTCTTTACACGAAATGTTGCGTTTTAAAGTGTTTTAATTATTTTAAGAAAATGTTTATGTAAATATTTTGAAATATTTCTAACTAAATATTTATTAATGTTGACTTTAAAAGTTTTAGTTTGTTTCAGTCTTATTTTAATACATATGCAAATAAATACATAAAATTATGAATCCAAAATTTGTTTAATTCGTACTTTACTCGATTATCCGGACAAGTGCCTGCATCCATTAGTCCGGATAATGGAGTCTCTACTGTAATTAGGAGAATTAATAAATTAGTTGAGTTCCCGACACGTAATAAGTAAGACTCACAATAATCCGGTTGGGGGAATTGATCACTTCCTAAACTATAATATCTTATTGTTGATTTGTTGCACCTTTCCTATGGACCTGAGTCTACAATTTTCATTGTGCTCTCCTCTCGAATCTGAAGTCATTTGTGAATTTACTACTAGTCTGGAACTTGAAGAGGGAATGTCAAAAGAATTGTACTTCTCCAATAATTAAAACTGCAAGATAAAAATAAAAGGGACAAAAATGAAAGCTCCGAAATATTCAAAAGTGTAACAGAAAATTTATCTAGGGTTAAATATAACAAAATAAAAATTATGGTTTGTAAATTATGTAAGGAAAAGAATGTCGTAATAAAATTTAAAATGTAGAACTCTAACACAAGATGAATAAAAAAATATTTGAACCAAAAGCACGAGCATTCTTATCATAAAATGTTTCCTCCAGATACTAATAAAAAGTCTCAGAAGAAATTTGAAGATTTTTCTTGTCAGCAGAATAAAAATCAGGTTAGGAAATTTATTATAGTAAAAACATGATAAAATTTATTCTAAATTTTGAATTTTATTATTTGTGAATGCGTTATTCAGGTCAGAAGAAGACTGTTATTTTTAAATGGAAACAAGAATTGGATCATTACCTTCTTTGGGATCGAGTTCATCACAACACGAATATATTGGACTGGTGGAGTAAAAATGAAGCCACTTTTCCGCGTGAATGGCTAAAGATTTGCTAGCTATATATGTGCTACAAGTGTGAATTCTTAAGGCCAAATAGAAATATTTTTTCAACATTTCCATTAAAAAAATACTTTTTATTTTTCGTAAAAATTTCACGAATTCTAAGTCAAATGCATTAGACAAGTTTTAATATGCAGCGATGACGTAGTTTTAACAATTATTAAAGAATCAATGGAGGATCAATAACGATTCTTAAGAATCTTTATTTGATTCTCTTTGATTCTCTGTTAGTGCAAAAGTAGAAAGACTAAAATATTGTTGCTTTATTTAATTAGTTCATTAGATTTCATTAGTTACTTTTTACATTTTTTAGTTGGATTCTTTGGACACGCTAATGTATACGTATTGTCGCATGTAATTCCTCTGATGATTAAATTTTTTAAAAATAGTCATGAACCGAGTGAGCTTCTATTTCCACTTGACTTTGGTATAGATACAGAAAAATACTTCTACTTGATAGCAATTCACGGTTATTTATCAGCTTACGTTTGTACTTTAGCGTTTGTAAATGGAGATACACTTCTCTTCATGTTTCTTGAGCATGCATGTGGAATATTTGAAATTATGCGGTAATTCAATTACATGTGTCATTTGCCTCACCGTAATGCACTTTTTAAAGAATTATTTAGCATTTTTCTTAGTTGACCAACTGTACACTACTAATAAAAGTATTTAGAACTTTTAGTAGCAGTGAGAGGCCCAGAAGCACTTAAGTCCAACGCACAAGGTTCGCAAAAGTCGTTCGCGAACGAGACGCATGAGATAGACAAGGACACAAATATATCTCTGTCCTTTTCTAACTCATGCTTTGCGTTCGCGAACGACTTTCGCGAATCTATTGTGCTTAGGCCTTTACTGCTTACTGACAGGTATAGTCCTTTTCGACAGCGCGTAGGGGCAGTTGCTACACCCGGACCCTGAATTTGCTAAGTCTGTAAAAAGTTTTATAATATAAAATATAGTATTCTTGTTTTTTAAAACTAAGGAACACTCATATGAGGGTCATTCCAGCGAGAATCGTCTAGAGCTGGTTGCTCGATGATTTTAAAAAATGCAGTAATTAATATACAATATTCTCCAATACAATTAGATTATCTTTTAGTGGTTTATAGCACTAAATATATTTTACATTCTTTTAAATAATTTTTTAAAATTTCTAACTGGTTATGCAGTTTAACATAACCCATTTTTCGAAAAATCAGTAATAAATAATTAAAAACAGATTATAAATCAGTATTTGGGGCATTCTCCGTGAGATTTTCAGTCAAAATTTTTTTTTTATTGAAACAATTTTTTTCGAATTCTATATGAAAAATAAGTAAATACCTGTTTTTTATTTTATTATTTGATCAAAATTACGGAAGTTATGATTTTTTGAAATGGTTACATTTCAGAAGCACGGCACTTTTGAAACACTTTTTTATCTGTTAAATCAAAAGATAAAAAATAATGTAAAATATGGAAATTATTTGTTTTTTCTCGAATATTTCAAATATGTAATAAAAAAAAACGTTAATAAAGCTAAAATAATAAATAATTTGAAATTTCGTCTAAAAAGTGACTTTTCTCAAAACCGAAGTAATCGATTTTCGATTTTTTTCTTTTATTAGAATCACTGATAAATAAAGAAATTTTTCCCTCTTATGCCAAAGTGGTGTTCTTTAGAGTTTAAAGGATATTTAAAATTATGTGAGTCGTTGCACAGAGTTTAGAAAAGGAAATTCAGAAATGAAAACACTTCAAAACTCCATTTCATTAGTAAGGCACTTGTTTTTTTGTAATTGAAGGTTAATTTTTTAACAAGTGTATAAAAGTCGATGAAAAATTTTCCAATTTTGTACTATTTACGTACGATGACTTCGAAACAATTTTTCCATTGCTGTTGTAATCCTTTTAAATTGACATCACATTATAAAACAAAAAATTTACGCACGATAAATGAAGAAATGTTTAAAAAACTTTCGATAATAAATCAAACCAATATTTTGGTTAATGAATCGAGAATTTGTTATGATTGTAGAATACGAATTGGAAAATTAAATTTTGAAACATTAAACAGTAGGTAGTCTAATTAATTTTTACACACTTTCTTATTTTTTAAAATTACTGCTTATTTAGATGAATACTCTTCATTTGAAGATGAGTCAGATTTTTCAAGCGCAGAGAGTGACAGTGATTCATACATTTGTAGTGACTACTCTGATGTAAGAATTTGTTCCTCAATATTAATTGAAATTAAAAACGTTTTTAATAAATTTGATTAGTTAAGACAGGAAATATATTTAAAATAAAATAATTAATAAAGTTAAAACTTCATTAATTGAAATTGTCTCTTTAGGACGATTTTTTTTCTTCAGATGGAACAATTCAAAAATTAAAAGAGAAATATCACGAAGTAAATACTACAGATGACGAGAAAATTCAAATTTTATCTCTTTTTCCTGAAAATTGGACAATTGCTAAAGTTGCGAGAATTGTAGGAACTTCTCGATACTTAGTTAAGAAAGCTAAAAAAGTTCTTGGACAGAAAGGAATATTATCGAAACCAGATAAGCGAAAAGGTCGATTACATAAATAAAAGGCTACAATTATTTTTGCATAAAATTATTGTTGGAAATTCTTAAGAAAATTTTAATTTTATATTTAATTGCTTTTATATTTTTTTAAATTATTTAAATTTGTTAAAATTTGTTAGGAAAATCAATTTCATCTGAGATTAAAGAAAAAGTACAATTATTCTTCGAAAGAGACGACGTAAGCTCAGTTTTACCAGGAAAGAAAGATACTATCTCTGTAGAAATTAATGGAAAAAGGCAATTGATGCAAAAACGAGTTTTGCGGGAAAATTTAAAAAACTTGTATGACAAATTCAAAAAAGAGTTTCCTGATATCGCTTATAAGCAGAATATTTTAGATATAAAATCTTTAGTTTTACATTTGCTATTCGTTTTAGGTAGTAAACTTTTATTATTAATGAAAGAACAAAACTATAATGACCCGAATATTAAAACTATTTTATCAGAAATGATATGTGAAGATCCAAAGCCGGAATGCTATTTACGTAAATGTATTAATTGCCCCAGTGATGAAAACTTGCGTAAATTTTTACAAATAATCTTGAAAACTTCAAATGTCAACAAAGTGGAATACAAACAGTGGATTTCGAGTCCTAGAGCAACTCTCATAACTAAAAAAGAAAATGAGAACAGTTTCGTTTCTTCTTTTTGCATCATGGCTGAAAAATATTTACCACATTCTTTTAGCGCTAGCAAACAAGCAGACTATTATAACAAAATTAAGGAAAATTTACAGAATAATGAATCACTTGTAATATGTGACTTTTCAGAAAATTATGCTTTTGTAATACAAAATGCTATTCCCGGTTTTCATTGGAGCAATAATCAGGCGACAATCTTCCCAATTGTCTTCTATTTTAAGAAGGATAATGTATTAGACCACAAAAGTTTAGTTTTTATTTCTGATTGTTTGACTCACGATGCTGTCGCTGTGCATGTGTTCATCAAAGCATTTAATGATTATTTATCGTCGTCCTATCCTTTTATCGAGCATCTGGTGTATTTTTCTGACGGCGCCCCTTCACAATTTAAAAACTACAAACATTTCGCCAATATTTCTTGTCATCAAGAAGATTTTAAACGAACTGCTGTATGGAACTTCCACGCCACAGCACATGGTAAAGGACCGTGTGATGGGGCTGGTGCAGTTCTTAAAAACATGGCAAGTAAAGCAAGTTTGCAGATGACTGGTGACACTTTGATAACAACTCCTCATGAACTATACGAATGGGCGAAAAAAGATAATAATTTAAAGAAAACTGAAGTAATGTTTAAACGCCAAGAGGATTATAACCAAATTAAAGCTTTCCTTGAACAGCGATTTGAGAAATGTACGTCAGTAGTAGAGACCCAACAATTCCATTATATAGAACCACGCAAAGCATTCGAATTACGAGTGAAATATTACTCATCTGCGACTGAATTTAAAGATGTTAGTTTACTAAAGGTACAAAAACCCCAAAGAAAACGTCAAAATTGTAAAAAATTAAAACCAGCTGAGAAACCAGCCAAAAGAAAACGTTTTGTTTCAAAACGTTAAATTTATTTTTGTGTTATATATTATTTCCATTAAAAATTATATTTATTATTGAATAAATAAACAGCTCTATAAAGTTTAATCAGATTTATTATTTATAAAATTTACAATAAATAAATTATACTATTCTAAGTTGAAATTATTTTAATTTTATTAATTGAATAAATTATTTTAAAAAATTATAATTTCAATTTTAAATCCTGTCAACGAAAATTAAATTTTCACTAAAGATATCGTAAATAAAAAAGGCGTGCGGGTAAAAAAATATTTCAAAAAATGGAAAATAAATTAAAGTAAACTATTAATTAATAACTATCTACTTTTATTTTCAATTTGCAAACTTTTTGTAAACTCTAATTCATTATCTACAATCATAACATATTCTCGATTAACAAAATCTGACCAAAATTGTCCAAAATATTTGCTTGATTTATTGTCAAAAGTTTATTAAACAGTTCTTCATTTATTGCACGTAAATTTTTACTTTTATAATGATTAATTATATTTTATAGTGATGAAAAATTGCTTTGAATGTCACCGAATATAAATACTATAAAATTGGAAAATTTTTCATCGACTTTTATACACTTGTTAAAAAATTAACCTTCAATTACAAAAAAACAAGTGCCTTACTAATGAAATGGAGTTTTGAAGTGTTTTCATTTCTGAATTTCCTTTTCTAAACTCTGTGCAACGACTCACATAATTTTAAATATCCTTTAAACTCTAAAGAACACCACTTTGGCATAAGAGGGAAAAATTTCTTTATTTATCAGTGATTCTAATAAAAGAAAAAAATCGAAAATCGATTACTTCGGTTTTGAGAAAAGTCACTTTTTAGACGAAATTTCAAATTATTTATTATTTTAGCTTTATTAACGTTTTTTTTTATTACATATTTGAAATATTCGAGAAAAAACAAATAATTTCCATATTTTACATTATTTTTTATCTTTTGATTTAACAGATAAAAAAGTGTTTCAAAAGTGCCGTGCTTCTGAAATGTAACCATTTCAAAAAATCATAACTTCCGTAATTTTGATCAAATAATAAAATAAAAAACAGGTATTTACTTATTTTTCATATAGAATTCGAAAAAAATTGTTTCAATAAAAAAAAAATTTTGACTGAAAATCTCACGGAGAATGCCCCATTTATTATTTTTATTTTAAATATACACTACTAATTGAGAGACCACCCATTTTCTGGTGCTTGAAAATCATTTTAAAACATAAAATGTATGAAAACTAAAATTTCTTTCTTTTTATTTTTGAAAGCTGATAAAATTTGGAAAAGAACAAGATCTTTTAGAAGTCATTTGGCCAATATTTTATTTAGATATTGTTAAAAAATCGTCATTTTCAATGTTTTACAAAAATTTGAATAACTTCTAAAATAATGGAAGCTTTTTGATGATCCTAGGCTTATTTTAAAGGTCTTTTGCTACACTATAAGA